GAACATTCCCTAAAGACTTTCGCCCTATTGCCCTCACCAGTTGTGTCTCCAATTTCTTTGAACGTATGGTTAACGATCGTCTGATGTGGTTCTTAGAACACCATCACCACCTCTCCCTTTCACGATTTGGATCCGCAAGTGCCGCAACACAACGGATGTCCTGGTGATCTTGGAGGTCTATATTCGTACTGCTGTTGCTACGAAGTCCTCCGTTGTTGCCGTCCTTTTTGACCTTGGGATCATGGCTTCAGGTTCTCTACATCTAAGACTTGTGCTATGACTCTTACTTGGAAGCATGTCGTTCTTCGTCCTTCTTTGTCACTTTATGGTCACCCCATTGTATACTAGGATTCCACTAAGCTTTTGGGGTTGATTTTTGACTCTCGGTTGTCTTGGTCGCCCCATATCTCTTACCTTCGTGTTGAATGCTCTAAGGCCTTTACCCTCCTTCGGGTATTGTCCCATACTTCTTGGGGAGTGGATAGGCGCACTCTACTCGCTTTACATTCCTCTCTCGTCCAGTCTAAGCTCGATTATGGTTGCCCTGCTTACTCGTCTGCTTCTCCTTCTACTCTTCCTTCTACGTTCAACTCCCGTCCCCAGCTTATATGTTGACACTGACTCCCTATCTCTCCAGGACCGCCGTAATCACTACTGTCTTCGCTATCTTGCACAGCCCTTGCAACATCCTTCCTCTCGCCTCTGTCTTGCTTTAAATTTTACCCCTCCTGCGGTTCCTGTTCCTCTTCACCACCTCCCTCTTTCTGTCCTGTTATCTCGCTTACAGGAATCTCTTTCAGTTCGTATTTCTAATATTTCTACTCGTGTTGTTCCTTCTTTGCCCCCGTGGAGAGTTCCCCTTCCGCAGGTTTGTACATCCTTAACCCGCATCACGAAAGCTTTTACCCCTCCTACGGTTCTAAAACGCCTTTTCCTTGAGCACTTTTCTTCTCACTCCCGCTCCGTTTCCGTCTTCACCGATGGATCTAAGTCTGCGGACGGTGTAGGCTACTCTTTTGTTTTTCCTGATTTCACTTATATGTGTCACTTACCTTCGGAGACTAGCATCTTCACAGCGGAACTTTATGCAATTCTCTATGCTCTTCGTCTCCTGCTTTCTCTTAGTCAATCTTCCTTTGTAGTTGTTGTTGGCTCTCGTAGTGCCCTCAGGGCTCTCGGGTCCTTTAATCCGGTTCATCCAGTGGTTGTCGAGATCAAGCATTGGCTGTTTCTTGTTCACAGTAAATTTAAGTAGGTTGAGTTTTGTGGGGTTCCCAGCCATATTAGTGTCTCTTTAAATGAGCATGCAGATGCTGCCGCCATGGAAGCTCTCTGCTCTTGTCCTATCTCTCATAAAGGTATTCCTTATTCCGACTTTTACCCGGTTATCCACTCCTCCATCCTTACCCGTTGGCAGGCTTGTTGGTCGTCTGTTACTGGTAACAAACTGCGTACTCTTAGGAGTTGTGTGTCCTCGTGGCCGTCCTCCTTCCACCGTAACCAGCGATGGGAAACGGCTCTAGCAAGGTTGCGTATTGGCCATACTCGCTCAACTCATTGTCACTTGATGAAGCGCTGCCCTGCTCCTTATTGTCCAAATTGCACTGTCCCTCTTACGATCGTGCATATCCTTGTTAAATGTCCTGACTTCCGGGACGAGCATGTCTCTTGTTTTCCGACCATCCCCAGCAGTCACTTGTCCCTCAATAGTATCCTTGGTGACTCGGATACTTTTGATATCGTTCGCCTTATGTGTTTCTGTTCTCGTTTTGGCATCCTTAGTGATATTTAGCACCCTCTGATTATTCTGCACATTTGATGGTGCAACATAGCCTTTCTGGTTTGGTGCCTTTTCTTGATAATTACTTACTTACTTGGACAAATATACAGCAAGGAGGGGCCACCAAAATACAAGTCCGAGTTTACCATAGATTTTTTTTCTTTTTTTACATGCAAGGCATGTGATTAAATACAATAAAAAAAGACATAAGGATCAAACAAGACATGCAACGCACAAAATCACTGGCCATTACAAAATATAAACACGAAGAACAAACATTCCAGTGGACAAACACAAAACACAGCAACAGTACATAAAGGTAAATAGCAACATGAGAGGAAATACATAACAGAAACACAGTAAACAAACTGAAAAGAACAAGAACAGTAACAGGCAGGGATAACTAAGCAGCCCGAAGGGCACTCAACAAAATACAAACAAGCACATTAACAGCACATTATTTCACGTATTTCTCTGGAAATCGGTCCTTCAGGAACCGGACAGCGTACGCCTCCCAGCAGACCCAAACAGCAAACTCATCCTCCGCATAAGGAGGAGTCATAAAGTCCAGATCCCCTGACATGAAGGCATGTAAGCTCGGAACCCAAATGGCACCCCAAGCCACAGGAAACGGCACCACACGCTCCCACATGAGGGGGGGGGGGGCCGGGCACGAGTAAAATAAAGCGTGAGATCCGCAACCAGCTGCACCCAAGTAACTGCACGCCACTTCCGCGATGACATCACCGAAACCCGCAACTCAGCCAAAGAGAACACATAGGAGGCCGCGAAGGGGGGCCACGGGAGACACCAGAGCTGGGGGCAAGACCACAGGGGCCTCCGCCGAAACATCCACACGCCCAGGCACCGGCTGGAATTCACCAAGGCGAGCATCCTTCTTCAGCCCTAGCTGATGCAGGCCACGGCCTGCATCAGCACCTCCCTGCATCTGCCTGCAGGGAGCCGGTCGGCCGAGCGGACAGCACGCTGGACTTGTGATCCTGTGGTCCTGGGTTCGATCCCAGGCGCCGGCGAGAAACAATGGGCAGAGTTTCTTTCACCCTATGCCCCTGTTACCTAGTAGTAAAATAGGAACCTGGGTGTTAGTCAGCTGTCACGGGCTGCTTCCTGGGGATGGAGGCCTGGTCTAGGACCGGGCCGCGGGGACACTAAAGCCCCGAAATCATCTCAAGATAACCTCAAGATAGCACCCTCACCATCCACGTCAGGAGGGGCGACCAGCCCCCACTGCGGAGAACCTCCTGCAGAAGAAAGAACAGGAGATAAGTCTAACGCACAATCATTGGCAGCAACGGGCACATGGACCTCAGCCACGGTTGAGGGAGTAGCAGAGCGCGACTCCCCGTAACCACACCGTCGTCGCCCAAAGACACACAGGCGTCAAAATCCCCCACATCAGCCCAGGCAGAAGAAGAACGGGAACACTTGGGCTCTGGCCACACATCATCAGAGCCGGAGGCTGACCCAGAAACACTGGCCTCACAAGACGGGTGAACCAATGCTCGTCCCAGAATGGCCGCAGCTTCAACCACAGGGGGAACCAGGCCAAACACGGCAGGAGGCCCCACGTCCACCCCAACACCCAGCACGGCTGGGACACAAGGCGAGGGCACAGGGACAGACGCAGCAGCAGAAGACGAAGACGGCGGCGACGCGTAGGAATCACCCGGAAGACCCACGGGAGCACCAAGGACACCAACGGGAGCAGGCAGACCATCCGAAGACAACACAACTTCCAGAGGAGGGGCCACAGCATCAGGAGGTGCGCTGGACGACACAGGGAGGCCTTAGCAGCTAACGGTACGGCCACATCCTCACCCACCGAATTCTCCTCCACAGAGAGCGGCAGGAAATCCTTTTCATGGAATAAGTTCACAGGAGCGACTGCAGCTTCAGAGCACCCAGCAGCCTGATGCCCCCAACAGGCCACACCGGAAACATGTTTGTGGTTGCCAGGCATAGTACCCAGGAGCCTAACAGAGGACGAAATATCCGACCTCAGGCACATTCCCAGAGTATGAATGTTCGTCTGCATACCCTTAAACTATCCTGAGGAAAGTGTGTGCAGCTGCACATTGACAACAGCGCCAAACTGCCGGAAGTAACGCCGCAGCAGGTCCTCGGAAAACTCCAAGGGCGCCCTATGAACACTCACATACGTAATGGTACCACTACAATCCATAAAAAGCACAGCGCCGGTTCCATCTGGTAGTGGCAAGGAACGCCCCTCGTAGCGCAGAAGAAACTCATGGTACGCTGCCTCCCCCAGAAACTTGATGATCCCTCGGTGCACAGTTACCAGTTTAACACCGTAAATCTTTTCCACAGGGACACAGAGCATGTCACACATGACAACCTCCACCTCAGGATAACCAGCATGGCCAGAAAATTCCCGGCCCACGGAGTGCACCCTCACAACAAGGGAGTAGAGGTCCCTCCATCACGGAGCTTGCCACGTCAACACCGACGAGCACCTAAGCACCACTCCAGCCAAGCGGCAACTGCATGTCCTCACCCCCTGGCGGCCAAGCCGGCAATCCCACCATAGGGTTTTAGTAACGTTAGTAATCTCAGTTAGGGGCTTTCATTTCAGCTGACTGGAACTGCTGCTTTATTGACATAATAAAGCGTGTGAAACTCTAACAACTATGTTTAGGAGGCGATATATGCCAAATGATTACTCGGAAATCTTTCCCAATACAGACTATTGTGGTGCTCTTTTGAGTGATACGGGTGAGTAAAGACTCACCCGTATCACCCGTGAAAACCCCAACTAAATTATTAATAGTTTTGCTGTAAAACTGAATAACTTAAGTCACACTAACTGTGAAGATAGGATTTTAAAGTTGTGTACATGAGGAGGAAGAAAAGAGAGAAAGTCTTGACTAAAGTTGTGGATTAATCTTTATGGAGATGCTTTACGTGTAATGAGCCCATGATGTGCACCATTAAACAGTGAAGCATCGCTAACCTCTCCACATGTTTTGTGTATTTAGTATCACTACAAACGTAAAGTCAGTGGTTATTAACCATTAACAACAATCATAACAGATGCCGGAATGAGTTTTGTGTGTGAAATATGGACAATAAAATGGTTTAAAAATAATAAAGATGTTGTTTGTATGGATTATTATTTTATTTTATGAAATGTAATTATATAACCCCATGAGTAAAGCGATTGTTGACATTTTTGCCACAGTGAGAGTGGTGAGCGAGGTGAGGCACTGGCCTTGTACCACCTGTCTTACATGTGGTACTCCGCGACGGGCTGCCTCACCGCCATGATGGTAGGGATGTTGGTGTCCCTGGTGACTGGTCAACAGGACGTGCGCACCCTCGACCCTCGCTGCCTCTCCCCCGCCGTCACTTGGTTCAAGAACTGGCTGCCAGGACTCGATGGTCTTGGAGAAGACTATGTGAGTGTTCTTCAGTACCCAGCAAACAATTTTAGGTTGCCACAACATATCTGGAAAGTATTTGAAAGTATTGGAAACGTTTGTTTTATCGTATCAGATACGATATTGTGTGTGGACTTAAATAGGTTTCCAAAACTTATAACCAAGACATATGTATCTAACACTAATTTGAGATGTTGTGGCAACTTTACACTCCTAACATGAGTCATTCATAATCCATTCATATACCAATATGAATCTCTTATGAAAGGTTTGAGCCAATAATCTGAACCCTTTTTACATCTTTGTGTTTAAAGTTAAATTTCTTGAAATTAAATTATATTTTATATTATATTATTTTTATTATATTTTATATTATATTATTATTTTCAATTTAAATATTAAAACCAATTTAAGGGTAAAAAAAATCTAATAATTTATATTTCTTTTATTATTTACTAACAATTATAATTATTTACTAACGGAGAGAGGGGAGGCTGTACGGCAGAGAGTGGCGGCTGTGGCGGACAGTGGCGGCGGTGGCGGATAGTGGCGGCGGGCGGACAGTGGCGGCGGGCGGACAGTGGCGGCGGCGGGCGGACAGTGGCGGCGGGCGGACAGTAGCGGCGGTGGCGGACAGTGGCGGCGGGCGGACAGTGGCGGCGGTGGCGGACAGTGGCGGCGGGGCGGACAGTGGCGGCGGGCGGACAGTGGCGGCGGGCGGACAGTGGCGGCGGGCGGACAGTGGCGTCGGGCGGACAGTGGCGGCGGTGGCGGATAGTGGCGGCGGGCGGACAGTGGCGGCGGGCGGACAGTGGAGGCGGCGGGCGGACAGTGGCGGCGGGCGGACAGTGGCGGCGGGAGGACAGTGGCGGCGGGCGGACAGTGGCGGCGGGCGGACAGTGGCGGCGGGCGGACAGTGGCGTCGGGCGGACAGTGGCGGCGGTGGCGGATAGTGGCGGCGGGCGGACAGTGGCGGCGGGCGGACAGTGGCGGCGGTGGCGGATAGTGGCGGCGGGCGGACAGGGCGGCGGCGGGCGGACAGTGGCGGCGGGAGGACAGTGGCGGCGGGCGGACAGTGGCGGCTGTGGCGGATAGTGGCGGCGGGCGGACCGTGGCGGCGGTGGTGGACAGTGGCGGCGGGCGGACAGTGGCGGCGGCGGGCGGACAGTGGCGGCGGCGGGCGGACAGTGGCGGCGGCGGGCGGACAGTGGCGGCGGCGGGCGGACAGTGGAGGCGGCGGGCGGACAGTGGAGGCGGCGGGCGGACAGTGGCGGCGGCGGGCGGACAGTGGCGGCGGCGGGCGGACAGTGGAGGCGGCGGGCGGACAGTGGAGGCGGCGGGCGGACAGTGGAGGCGGCGGGCGGACAGTGGAGGCGGCGGGCGGACAGTGGCGGCGGCGGGCGGACAGTGGTGGCGGCGGGCGGACAGTGGTGGCGGCGGGCGGACAGTGGTGGCGGCGGGCGGACAGTGGCGGCGGCGGGCGGACAGTGGCGGCGGCGGGCGGACAGTGGAGGCGGCGGGCGGACAGTGGAGGCGGCGGGCGGACAGTGGAGGCGGCGGGCGGACAGTGGAGGCGGCGGGCGGACAGTGGAGGCGGCGGGCGGACAGTGGTGGCGGCGGGCGGACAGTGGTGGCGGCGGGCGGACAGTGGTGGCGGCGGGCGGACAGTGGCGGCGGCGGGCGGACAGTGGCGGCGGCGGCGGACAGTGGAGGCGGCGGGCGGACAGTGGAGGCGGTGGGCGGACAGTGGAGGCGGCGGGCGGACAGTGGCGGCGGTGGGCGGACAGTGGTGGCGGCGGGCGGACAGTGGTGGCGGCGGGCGGACAGTGGCGGCGGCGGGCGGACAGTGGTGGCGGCGGGCGGACAGTGGTGGCGGCGGCGGCGGTGGTGGGTGGTGGCGGCGGCGGCGGCTGGCGGACAGTGGGCGGTGGCGGACAATGGCGGCGGTGGCGGACAGTGGCGGCGGTGGCGGACAGTGGCGGCGGTGGCGGACACTGGCGGCTGTGGTGGTGGCGGGGTCTGTGATGAGTGGTGGCGGCTGGCGGTGGTGGGTGGTGGCGGCGGTGGTGGTGGGTGGTGGTGGCGGTGGCGGCGGCTGGTGGTGGCGGCGGTGGTGGTGGGTGGTGGTGGTGGCGGCGGCGGCGGCTGGTGGTGGGGTGGTGGCGGGTGGCGGCTGGTGGTGGGTGGTGGCGGGTGGCGGCTGGTGGTGGGTGGGGTGGCGGCGGGTGGCGGCTGGTGGTGGGTGGCGGCGGGTGGCGGGTGGCGGTGGGTGGCGGTGGGTGGCGGCGGGTGGCGGCGGGTGGTGGGTGGTGGCGGGTGGGCGGCTGGTGGTGGGTGGTGGCGGGTGGCGGCTGGTGGTGGGTGGTGGCGGCGGGTGGTGAGTGGCGGTGGTGGGTGGCGGTGGCTGGTGGCGGGTGGCGGGTGGCGGCTGGTGGTGGGTGGTGGCGGGTGGCGGCTGGTGGTGGGTGGTGGCGGGTGGCGGCGGGTGGCGGCTGGTGGGGGGTGGAGGCAGGTGGCGGCTGGTGGTGGGTGGCGGCGGGTGGCGGCTGGAGGTGGGTGGCGGGTGGCGGCGGGTGGCGGCTGGTGGTGGGTGGCGGCTGGGTGGTGGCGGGTGGCGGCTGGTGGTGGGCGGCGGGTGGCGGCGGGTGGCGGCTGGTGGCGGCCAGCTGGGACACACCCTTCTCCACTGTAGGTCTGAGTACAACTAACCATATGTCTCTCTCACCCACCAGAACAGTGTTGCCAGCTTGCGCTCTCAAAATGTTTCCTTCAAAGATTGTATATTATCTTTGAACAACAAGTTTGATTATCAAGGAAATAATGCATATATTATTGTCACATTAATACTGTGCAATATCTTATTACATTCCTGCTAAATAATTATAATTTGAAACAGGACAAAAAATCCCACATATATATAAAAACCAACATTAGAGATCACGAGGCCTAGGCCTCGCCTGTGACCACACATCCTGCCTCCCTGGCCTGCTACACTCACACACCTCACACTCTTAACTCTCTCATAATCACTCTCACTCTCTTACTCTGTCACTCTTACTCTGTCACTCTTACTCTCTGTCACTCTTACTCTCTGTCACTCTTACTCTCTGTCACTCTTACTCTCTGTCACTCTTACTCTGTCACTCTTACTCTGTCACTCTTACTCTGTCACTCTTACTCTCTGTCACTCTTACTCTCTGTCACTCTTACTCTCTGTCACTCTTACTCTCTGTCACTCTTACTCTGTCACTCTTACTCTGTCACTCTTACTCTCTGTCACTCTTACTCTGTCACTCTTACTCTCTGTCACTCTTACTCTCTGTCACTCTTACTCTGTCACTCTTACTCTTACTCTGTCACTCTTACTCTGTCACTCTTACTCTCTGTCACTCTTACTCTCTGTCACTCTTACTCTGTCACTCTTACTCTGTCACTCTTACTCTCTGTCACTCTTACTCTGTCACTCTTACTCTGTCACTCTTACTCTCTGTCACTCTTACTCTCTGTCACTCTTACTCTCTGTCACTCTTACTCTCTGTCACTCTTACTCTCTGTCACTCTTACTCTCTGTCACTCTTACTCTCTGTCACTCTTACTCTCTGTCACTCTTACTCTCTGTCACTCTTACTCTCTGTCACTCTTACTCTGTCACTCTTACTCTCTGTCACTCTTACTCTCTGTCACTCTTACTCTGTCACTCTTACTCTCTGTCACTCTTACTCTGTCACTCTTACTCTGTCACTCTTACTCTCTGTCACTCTTACTCTCTGTCACTCTTACTCTCTGTCACTCTTACTCTGTCACTCTTACTCTCTGTCACTCTTACTCTCTGTCACTCTTACTCTCTGTCACTCTTACTCTCTGTCACTCTTACTCTGTCATTCTTACTCACTCTCAGTCACCCTTACCCATTCATACTCACTCTCTCACTCTTACTCTCATACTCTTACTCTCAATTACTCTTACTCTCAATCACTCTTACTCCCAATCACTCCTACTCCCAATCACTCCTACTCTCAATCACTCCTACTCTCATTCTTACTCTTACTCTTACTCCCAATCACTCTTACTCTCAATCACTCTTATTCTCATTCTTACTCTCACTCTTACTCTTACTCCCAATCACTCTTACTCCCAATCACTCTTACTCTCAATCACTCTTACTCTCAATCACTCTTACTCTCAATCACTCTTACTCTCATTCTTACTCTTACTCACTCTTACTCTCAATCACTCTTATTCTCATTCTTACTCCTACTCTCACTCTAACTCCTACTCCCAATCACTCTTACTCCCAATCACTCTTACTCTCAATCACTCTTACTCCCAATCACTCTTACTCTCAATCACTCTTACTCTCAATCACTCTTACTCTCAATCACTCTTACTCTCACTAACTCTCAATCACTCTTACTCTCACTCTAACTCTCAATCACTCTTACTCTCATACTCACCCTTACTCTCAATCACTTTACTCTCACTCTTACTCATTCTGTCACTCTTACTCACTCTGTCACTCTTACTCACTCTCAGTCACTCTTACTTATACTCACTCTTACTCACACTTACACACTCTCTGGCACTCTCACTCACCTTCATTCACTCTTACTCACTCTTACCCACTCTCGCTCACTCTTACTCACTCTAGTTAATAAGAACACGCCAATATAAGACAACAAAACGTTTTCAGATTCGTTCTCACCACTTTCCAGCAACTTTTAAAATTTATATAAATTATCTTAGGGAATAATACATAAATTATATATTTAAACATGATATTAGTGTTTAGTGGAATGCATAAGGAGTCAAATTGTGTTAAAAAGAGCGATTTTTAGAAAATTTGGAAAACTACTTTTTTCTGTTCATATTATAACTAAATGGATTTTAAAGGTTTCACTCAGCCAATATATATCATTCACAATTTATTAATGAATTTTACAAAAAAACACCATAAATTTTATATTTAAACATGTAAAAACTATTTGTTTTACATTTGGAAGAAAATAATTGTAGAAAAA